ACACGCAATGACTACTACTTCCTGTTTCCGGTTGGCATCACTGCAAGTTGACTACGTCGTCTCATGCGCGATTGTACGAATCCTTCCTTTCGTATTCTCCCCACTCCTCACACGCACACGCACATACACGATCAGGCTGAGAGCGCATTATTGGTTTCACACGTCCCCGAGATACTAACCAATTCCGACCCACCGAAGGGAGCCTCGACTCCTACTTCGCAGCAGTAGGCAGGGTAAGCTTTGAAGCCACACAGCCCACACAAGAATGCATTTTATGAACCCTCCCAGAAACAGCTAATGGAGAGACGCATTAGTTTGGGTGCGAAATTGTATTGATATTCAAATAATGTGTTGGAACGACTTCATATTTTAATATTCATAAAGGATTCAGTGGTATGCACAGCCATGTTGTGTTGAATTTCGTGTAATTATCAAAATTTAACTTATGAATTTGAAATGTGGTAAAGTGACCCGAAAATGTAACATGGTGTTTACAATTTAAGGTTAGTTTTGGTCAATGAATTGTTGGAGAAGTGCAAAGGAAAGGGGGAGGATTAGGATTTTAATGCTTTGTTTATTCGGATGCCCGTTGAAAATGCCCGGGGAAAATGGCATTCAAGGCAGGCATCTAAGCTCTTCGTCCTTATACTAGTATTTGACTAAGCGCTTCAGCTGTTTCCACTCGAGAAGTCTTAGGCGCTATTCCAGAACCCGGCTGTCCATCCTTAGGTCCCTGAGTCCCGAACTTCAGGAGGGAGGTTTGAAAAGTATCGTGAACAGAAATAAAGGAAATGGAGAGTTGATGAGGCGGGAAGTCGTTGTCAAGCTCCCCGCGAAATGGATTCGTTTGCAAATTTCTTTCGCGCATCTCCTCAATTACGGCTGCCTTAGAGACGTTAGTATGTATAATAGCTGCATTTGGAAATAATTTTACTGTGCAGGTAATTGTTGATGTGGCCCAGTTCTCAATGTTTTGCAATCGTTGAAAAGGTTTGAGCTAGGCTTAGAACAACGCAAAAGACTGTAACTTCTGTTTCATCCTTTAACTTATTAGTGAGCAGTTCCACGATAAACCGTGTCGGCGAGGTCAACTGCCCAAAGCTCGCATGTGCGCCGGTTCAGCACCAAATGTATTTTGTCGCCTCTGTTTCTTAGCAGTCAATTTTATGTCATGTGACAAAGCGCAATCGCTTATTTGGGCGACATAAAATCTAACTCAACTTATTTACGATCATACGTCTGCTTTTAGAGTCATTATTAGCTAATAAAATGTCTGTAAAACATTTATTACCCATTCTTCCTAGGTATTTGTAAGAAAAGTGCATATACTTTAGACTAAACACCACGAAATGCAGTGTCCAATTTGAAAAAAAACAAGAACTATTATTGTAAATCAGTCGTGCTGGTTGCGACTTCAATTTTACTGCAGATATTACGAGCCAAGGTTAGTACTTATACTTTAAATGCTCTACGGCCATGTGTTGTTGTGGTAAGAGACCTCTCAGTCTTTTCGAGTTCCATCCTGACACATTGTTTTAAGTTGAGTCTAAACGGCAGATTACAAGGATGCATGCATGAGAACATATGATTCGTTCAGGTCTGTGATCAGTTCACCTGAATAGCGGCAGTAGCATGTAGCAAATGTATCGTTTATAAACAAACGAGCCACGCCTCATAGTTCACTCTAAGGTCAGTATTAGGTCTTGCCCACCGTCATTTTTCGACCTTGACTAGCCTTGAGGTCCGCCATAAACTGTGGATGTCAACATCAGTTAAGAATACTGTTGTATCTACTGAGTACATCGACTCGTAAATCTGAAATGCCCCACAGAAGTAGATAACCTTTCATTGTTTTCTAATTTTCCCTTCAGACTAATAAATTCTGGCAGTTTCGGCACCTCACTTTGCTGGATTTATGCTAACATCTTCGCATACCTTTGCCCTGGACTTTGGAAAAAGTACAATTTTCTAATGTAGCCACTAGATTGGAATTAACTGTTTTCATTGAGAAGAATGTTGAGCTGCTGATTAGAAAGCATAAAATAAGCTAAAAATACAAAGGAGAATAAAATGGTAAAGCAAGTGGTCCTATTGAATAATTATTTGGAGTGGTATGGCCACTTAGGGTGAAAAAAATGGTAAACAAAAAATGAATTAATGCTAGGTAATATTCCATATGTAAACAAACAGTGGCGGCATTTCTCTCCTGCCTCCAAATTTGGCCCATCAAAGTGGTTTAAAACCGAGACGCTGTCCGGTAAGCAGTAATTATATGATGATTGAGAATCTGAGCAAATTAGTTTGAGAGAAAGCAGGAATATCAGAGACAATATCTTTAAGTTACACAGCCCTGTAAGAAGTTCTAAAACTAGACTAAAACATTAACTTGCTAAGGATTTTGTTGATGGAATTATCATGCTATCGAATGCAGACAGATGAGACATCTATTCATTGCAATGGATATTGCCTAGCGAAAGAAAATTGGCATTAAGGAGTTTAAAATAGACTATGGAGGCACTTATAACACGCCATCGTTGCTGTTAAGTTCAGTGCCTGTTTATCCAGCCGAATAGGGGCGCATAGTTTACATTGGCAATTGTCACCATGGCACTCAAGCGATAAAAACCATGCAATTATGGCTACCGATGCATCCACGCCCGACTGCCTGTCTGACATCCGCGTTTCCCTAATGCTTTAACCTTCAACTACAGCTATATTGAGAATAGAAAGTTGCTACTTTACATGTTAGGAACGCAAACGAGAGCATCAAACTAGTGACACCCAGGCAGAACTACGAACACAACCCAGCCGTCACCACAGGAGATCAAAGCTTTGTGACTTTCGTCAGCAAGTAACATTCCACTGATTCGGAGTAGCTCCGCCCTCAAAGCATCCAAACAAACCACTAACAATTCAAAAGCGTGAGATTAACCGCGCGCCCACCCACATAGAAGCACACCAAGAGCCCTGACGGCGACTTGAATATTACCAGGCCCCTCTTCCTCCTCCTCCCCTCCCAATGAGAACAAAACACCTCAATTATCGGAACAAATAGATAGCGACATACAACAGGCTATTCTCCACATTTACTCTAGGTAAAGCACAAGATGGGCAATCGGACTAGATAACAGTACAGAAAGAAGCAAAAATCAATTTCAACCAGTGAGACGTGCTCTCAGTAGACCTTCCAAAGTCCGCGAGTCCGCAGCAAATCGGCGAATGCCTTCAGAAAGTTTATCGCTAGCCATCTCATCCTCATTCATGGACCAACGGAAAGCAGCCTCATTTAAGTGTAAAGGAGACTCGTATTTGCATCGCGAGGAAGCTAAAATAATTAGTGGGGGCAGTGATTTGAAGATATAACAAAGCGAAACCATGAAACGCATGACTCATATCAGGTAGATTAATGCACCTAACCTAATTTAGCGTCGAGGGCCACGATAACCTCTTCGTCCATGGACGCAAGGGATTGAAGAAGGCTAGGTGAGATAGTCAAGAGATCGCAACCAACAAGACCAAGTATCTGATCCACATTGCGGAAAGAGGCACCCATAATCTAGGAAGAAAAAAATTTGTACAGAGGGCGAAAAAAGGCAAAAATTGCCTTGAAAGAGCAACTTGGAACTAACCTCGGTTTTGTAACCAAACTTCTTGTAGTAGTTGTAAATTTGTGTCACTGAGAGGACACCTGGGTCATTGAGTCTAGTGAACTCCGTTTGACCTTTTTTCGCTACATACCAGTCATAAATGCGACCAACAAATGGGGAGATGAGCGTCACATTAGCCTCCGCACATGCAACGGCCTATCAGAACAAGTATTAACAATACAACCGACATACCTGAGCGAAGGAGAAGAGAAGAGTAAGGTTGCAGTGCACGCCATGTTTCGACTCAAGTTCCTTGGCTGCCTGTATGCCTTCCCATGTTGAACTTAATTTAATGAGTATGCGTTCTTTAGGTATTCCTTTCTCGGCGTAGAGAGCGATCAACCTAAGAGCCCTCTCGACTTGCTTATCTTTATTAAAAGAGAGCCTGGCGTCAACCTCCGTAGACACACGCCCAGGAATAATTTTTAATATTTCTTCACCAAACAATACAAAAGTGTAGTCGCATGCAATTTCAATTTGCTCTTCCAGAGAACTCGACTTCTTCCTGGCTATCTGAACTGCTTCTTCAATAATTCTCAAATATTTAGGCATTTTGGAAGCCGCGAGTATGAGGGATGGATTTGTTGTGGCATCAGTTGGAAGGAACTTTTGTATACCTAGAGCATACACGAGTACACTCATACTTACTCTCAAAATCCCCTGTGTCGGCCACAACGACAGTATTTTGCTTTAGCAAATCCAGAGTGGAAGGCATTTCTTCAAAATTACGGATAGGACCCCGCAAACCCCAACACCGCCACCCCACAATAGATAATAAACGAAGCCCACAGCATGAGTACAGACGGATTTATACATGTTTGGCTAATAAGGAAACTATATTGGGGATTCAATTGGTTAGTTAATAACCAATAAAACTTTAAATACTAAAATCAATACAGAGGATTAAATTTGTGCGAAAAGGCAACGAAAAACAATAAAGGACTCAAACTATTGCTGATGTCAGCAAAGTAGCTTTTGTAAGAATGAGTCATTTGTCTCTTTTTAGAAATGAAAATTGACTGCAAAAGCGCATAGGAATGTTTGTGAATATACCAGGACTAAAGTTCCCAAAATATAACAATTCTTATTATAAAATCTTAATGATGGCTAGAATCGCTAGTGACTTTCACGCAGCCTTTGTAAATGCCGAAAGGTAGTCGTAGGGAATGCAAATGGACGCTAACATGAATTGTTTCCATAAATTTCGTAGATCCACAAGATTTTTTATTACTTCTAATTTAAAATTTTAACACCTTTGAAGAAACTGAAGAGATTAGGCATTCTCTTAGCGTGACGACCGTACCGCATTCAGGAGCAGACCGATTACCAACATAAACGAAAGCCACGCAGGTGTTTACATAAAATAAGCAATACAGCTCTATCTTAGCTATGTAAGAAACGTTTCAAGTGAACCGTAGTTTTTCGTTCATTATTAAAGTTTTCATTCCTTCCGCGATTAAGTGATAATCTTTTGTCGTATATCATTGGCTGTTAAACAACTTTGAGGTCTTGATAGCGTCTTAGAACTATTTCTTTTTAAATAAGGGCATTAATTGGAACTGAATACATGCGTTCTAGGGGGAGCCAAGGGACTGGTTCTAAGCTGTTTGAAGACCAACCCACAGTTACAGGGGTCAGACGACTCTTAAGGCAGCAATCAGGTTACAAAGGGTCCCAGCATGCAAAATAATTCACCAGTTGTTAAGTTCGAAGCAATGTGACAAAAGTCGACTTTCTTTCTTATATAACTTAAGTATTTTCCAGGGACAGAATTTTTGTATGCTTTATCAAACGTTTGCTATACTATGTTCAATTTTACAGTCTACGATGCTATCATCGTCCAATATAATGCAGTTGTGCACGAAGGCTTACCAATACTAGAAAAAATATTCAGTACACCATCTCAGTTCAAGTTTGATTCGCCAGAGAGTTAACCAATTGCAGCTAAGCTACTTTAGCCCATTAAATCTGGTGTTGGAGTGGTTATCGAAGGCGATATTGATGGCTCTCTCGCTTAGTGACCCGGCTCGTGAGTGGCTCAACAAGTTGATGAATAAAGATGCTCAATTCAGGGATATGGCGTCAAAAATAGGTTATAATCGAAATGGTATCAAATTTTGTCTTTTAACACGTTTGCAGACATACCCACTGTTAGCGGTATCCTTGACACGGACTATGCCATCTCTCAGGTCAATGTGGGTGGGCAACTTGAGTTCGAGAAGACAACAGCCATTCCACCTGAACTTCTGGAGCGATTGAGTGGTGTAAAACAGTGTTGCCGCATGGGAATATTTCCACAATGTCGAAAAGCCTGGCTTACGGTTGACGCAGAATTCTTTCTTTGGAACTTCGAAGATGGGGAAGACCTAGCTTTTTATGACGGATGCCAAGATGTTATCATCTCGGTCTCTTTACTGCGTTCTAAGCCGGGTATGTGTCGAGCTTCCTTGGCATCGTTCTCACTTGCTAACCATTACTTTATTTAGGTTTCTTACCTTCAACCATTGAATATCTACTAGCACTGGCAACGCCATCTAACCTTATTATTTTGGGAGTCACATATGATTACACTACATCTCAATGCAGTTATTATTACAATGGAATATTTAATGTTCTACCTACTCCGCTTTATTTGGTATCCACTGAACACTATTACATTACTTGCATGGAGAGTACCTCTAATGGGCGGTTTGTCTTATTTTCTTCACTATTTGTTTATACTAGGCTCTTCATGGGGGATCGCGAGGGAAATCTATTGGAGTGCATATATAAGCCTATTCAAGCACTGAATGACAGTATGTCGGGTCAAGCATTGGCTCCAAACGGCATGTGCAGTATCACCAATCATACCGCGTCTTCGCTTAATTACTTCCTTCCCACCATCCTGACTAACGGATTCCGTTCTTCAGGTATGCCCCGTCCCCTATCCATTTGGTTTATTTTATTCTTAGGTGCCATTACTCGGATTTCAGTTGATTCAAGGCGGGGCTTACTGTGGACGCTGTCAGCTAATTCTCATCTGACCGTTTACCAGTATGACATTCCTGGCACAAAAACCGACACTAACTACCTATCGAAAATTGCGAGTCTTACGGCCTCCGATTTGGCCCATAGAGCTGCATCAATTGTTCGGTCGGTTGATCGGAGCCAGTTTTCCAGGTACGAGTTTGAAAAATCGTTGAGGCGTTTGAGGATTCCTGAAGTTTTTAACCCCACGTATTACTTTTATCTTCAGGATTATATCAATCTATGCATTGTCCGATGAATCTGGTCCGATTCAGATGATGGCAGTCAACGCCTCTGGGATTCGCATCTACTTCGCCGAAGGCCTTCGTATTGCCCATATCCGTTTGCCTCCACGTGTCCCCTTGGATTCCAGAGCTCCAGAACCCTCGATACTGCCTCAAAAACAGCAACAACAACAACAACAACAACTGCCTTTTCAATCCGTTCTTGGTGAAGTCAGGTAGAATCTTGTATTTTTCATGTTTATCAGCAGGCGCTTCCCGTTCATTGGTTCTTTCGCTTTACAGGCTGGTAGCTGAGACGCGAGGGACAGTGATTTTTGCCTCAATTCTACCAAAACCAGTTACTACTGACTCTCCATCGGAGCCAACAAACACATTAACTCTCAGCGTGACCTCTCCAGATCCCTTCCCGTGGTCTCCATGTCTGTCGGAGACGGTGACCGCTTCATTGAATGTTGAATCTCCTTGGGCGCTGACGGTGCTCCCTCCTGACGACAGCGGTGGTACATTTGGCAATCCCAACGACCTCGTCTCCTCGACCAGTTTTAATAAGAAGGGCATTGAGCTGCCTCATGAATCATCAGGATCCTCTCAATCCGAGTACATCTCTTTTTCGACTAATCTGTTTAACAATTTATCCAATTTTCTGGTGTTCGCTGCTTTATTTTATTAATGTTCCTGTATTTATTTTTGGATTGGGTTTCCTACTTTAGCAAGGTTTTATTGTTTTCACTGCTAGCCTGTTTTCGCAGCCCTTTTCAAGAACATCCATCTTATCTTCGAAGTCGTTTAAGTTATTTTCCACGCACATCTCATCTTTTTCCATCTTTACAGACTTTGTACTTGAGAATCCCATTCTTATCTCTTGGGAAACTTAGCCCTCTTTCACCAAACTTAGCTTTTCCTTAAAGTGTCAATTTAAAATGATTGTTGAGGGAGATGGTTAATCTAGAATGCGATGCTTGAGGTCATGCACACTGTTGCGAATGCAGTGAAATTATCGGTTTTTCATTGAACGGTGTGTTTATATGGACCTTCTATGCGTCTATTCCAGTCACGAGTTTGTTTAACTCCACAAGCAAATCTTTTTTATGTTCAAGTCCTCAGCAAACAGTTCTTGGCGGAGTGTCTTGTACTCAGCCACAGCAGCAGTCGTCTCCACCACAGCCGCCGTATCCAAAGGGCTCACCTCCAGTAATGTTAACGCAACACTTGGATCCAAATTACCGTCGAGTGTTGGTTATCACAGCTCATGGTATCGTACACCTTCGTTTGCCTTCTCCGCTGCAGAGGCTACGCGAGTTTCTCGCCTCTTCTGGTGCTGTTCCTTCTACAACCGATGGCACTACCTCCTTAGAGACTGCGGACAAAAACTTCTTGAGCACATTTCTGCACCAATTTGGTCCAGAGGAGTCTATCTGCGCCTCCATCGCCATTGCAGCCTCTGAGCAAGGAAAAACTGATGTAGTTGCTCATGCCGAAAGAGTAAGTATTTTTTTCCATCTCGTTCTTCCCGCATAATTCAAGAATTGAAGTCATTGCGATCCTTACCATTCTGATGCTCCGGCTTCCGAGTCCTTCCTGCAAGCGTAATGGTCTGCATGAATCTGAACATAGCTTTCTTGTCGAGTATTGCTTAAAAGCTGAACTATCTAATAGAATAGTATTTAGTACAGATTCATAGTCCATATCCTGCAACCCAGTTTGAGGAAGCCGGTTTAGTTTCTTAGTGCCTCCTTTGAGCTATCGTTATGAAATAATTTTAAACCTGTAGGCAGTGATATATTTCGCTACGGAGGCTGCACGCTTTTGGCAGCCCCCGGTCATCTGCCACGGTGCTGCCTCAGCTACGGCGCCGTCTTTGGGCGGTATGGTGGCGATGGGGTCAATGACATCGTTGCCGGAGTTGAGACTAATGGGATCGTTGGGTCAGCAGGAGGCGATGGCAGACACCTTCTTAGTGCTCGGCGCCTCCCTTTTCCTCTCACGGGTCTCACGTCCCCTTTGGCGTGCTCCAATGCTTGCGGTGGCTGACAGGACTATGCCTGGACTTGCCTCCACCACCCACAGGCCTGAGAGTGTGTCAGGTGGTCTGACTAGTATATTCTACACTTTCATCTCCACCGCCATTGCTAAGGCCACTGCTTCTACCGCTAGTGCCACAACCAAAGACTCTATCATCGTGAGTTAAGAGCATCAGCTGAACAAAATAGTCATCTCTTCCGTAGACTTTGATCCATTGAGATAAATTAAAAACTGTTGATTCAATTAATGCTTGTTTTTATAAGGAATTATAAATTTGGCAGATAACCTCGCGCTTGAATTCAGATGATCTTGGATGGGTTATGCACCAGCTGCGCTACCTTAAAGCTCTCCTCGAGTCGTCTAGCCAGAAGTCATCTATATCGTCGACATCCTTATTCCTTGGTGGACGTCGGGGTGGTCCGACTGAGTCTACCCTCTCGCCTTTGGTGCGTCTTACGCAGGATCTTTGTCTCCTTCTATCCGCTTTTATTGAATTCGTTGGCCTCTGGCAGATAATTGCTCAACATAACGTTCACGCCATTACCAGGTACGTTTTCTGCTTCCCTTCTTGACAAATAAAATAGAACCATTTCTTTACAATCATTGGCCTCTTACAGTCAGCTCAGTGCGGAGCAACGCACGGACCTTATCAGTCTACCGGTGGAGGCCTTCGTATGCTGGATGCCCCGCACAGCAGCCGTACCTTCATTCACTACCTCCACACCTGATATTCGTTCGGCACTTATTACCGCTCTGATTGAGTACTATATGTCAGGTCAGTGTCAGACGGCCTCCGTGGAAACACTCTGCGCTCGTTTGCGCAGTGTCTGTCCTAACCTCTTCGGCAACGAGGACGCACTCTGTGCTCGTGCAGAGGAACTTCTGATGCGCGCTGCAGCGCTAACTACTTCAGAAAAGCATCGGGAGGAGCTGATCAAAGAAGCTGTGGATCTTCTACACTCTGCAGGTCCTTCGCTCAACATCGCGGTGGCTGTAAGCAAACTCGTTAGCACGGTAGGTGCCTGGGGTGCCGCCATCCGTCTTTGCCTTTCCATCGCTCGACAACGGGACCCTCTGGACTTGGCACTGGCGTGTCTGCGTGAATCGCGCCAACCAGAGGCAGAGGCTTCGATGTCTTTACTCATCGGAAAACCTTCTCACATTTCTTCTAAGTCAGAAGTTGAAGTGGTGGAGAGCCGCTATGATGCGTATCGCGCGGCACTAGGCTGCCTTAGCAGTCTTCTCGAGTTGGCTTGCCTTCCCACCTCCGCTTCACGCATTCCGGAGCCAGAATCGGAGATACAGGCAGAGCCATCTAGTGTCATCCTTCAAAGTGTCGGCGTCAATCCTACTATGGAAGTCGTCCGACGTACTCTTTGGGCCATCCTAAAATTTATCTTTAAATCGGATGACATGTTGGTCCACTTTGAGGTAGATTTTGCCCTCATTTTCATGATTTTTAGTTGTTGTTGTTGTTGTTGTTTGCGAACGCCACAATGAACACCTAAATATAACTTCTGTCACGAAAACCCTAGGGCGTTCTAAGACAGCAGTAGTCTAGACTTCCATGGATTAAAGCCAACTTCTCTAAGTCAGTTCTATCTAGCATTATACCATCTGAGTGCTCGTGTTTGGATGTAGGCCTGTGGTTGCTCCCCCATCAAAGGAAAAATTTAGTGTATTTTCTGTCCATACTCATCCCATCAAGATATCAAATGCGTAAGAGTGACGATGTGTGTTTCCTTGGAGTGTCGCCAATCGTCCAAAGCAAGTAGGATTCTCGAGGTTCATAGCTCCTTCAAGATCGCATACCCCACTTATAACAGCGCTTTGTTTCATGCCCCAAGTTGAGAAACAATCTGTTTTTCTCCTTGATTCATTATTGGTACTCAAAATCCGCTTTCTCATTAGCTACCAATCACGTACTTCAGTAACCGGTACTTTAATTCAGCGATTTGCATTTCCTGCAGGTAATTGCGTGGCTCCTATCCAATGGCTTATTGGAGCAGGTTGTGGAGTTGAACTCGCCTTATCTAGAAATGTACCTTCAGTCACATCTGTGTCAGGCGCCCAATGACGTGGCACTGCGTCGTCTCCTCTGGCGCCAACTAGAGGCTCGCGGTGCTCATCGGGAGGCCGCGCAGGTTCTCGAGCACCTAGCCACAACTGTGGGTGCCGGAGAGGGTCTTACTATTGAGGACCGCCTTGACTACCTCGCTCGTGCTATTGTCTCTGTCAGAGCTCTTCCTCGTGCGTTTCATCCCCAATTTTCACTGTTCATCAGTACCTAGGCAATCAAGTGAACTGGCCCAGTTCATTTTTACAGAGTCACAGTTGGCGGAAGCCTCGGACTACTTATCAGACTTGCAGGATCGTCTAGAAGTTGCAGAGTTGCAGCGCCACTTGTGTATCGAGCTAACAGCTACGGGCACTAATGCCTCTGTCTCTACCAGTACGACCTTCTCTCACACTGAGGTACAACAAGCCCTCACCGAACTCACGCGGGGTCCCCTCCTTCCTGCCTCCGAGCTTTTTGCTTGCTACGCTGACCCTTTCGAGCTTCACGAATCAAAGCTCTTGCTTCTCCATTTCGCTGGCGAGGCGGTACGTTCACTCTATTTATTTCAGAGCTCGATACTCATTTACCTCTTCGCCCTCCTAGGATGACGACCTTATAGAAGCTGTCTGGATGGCTCTTTTGCATCGTCTCCTTTGCGGTACTGGTAACGGTAGTGGTGGTGGTTCACAGTTGAATTCTCCTATTCAAACTCGTCGAAAGCATCTCCCCACAAACCGAATGACAGCTAGAGGTCTGGAGTTGACCATTTCCACCTGCCTCAGTCGACTCTACACTCGTCTGGCGGTGGCACCTGTGAGTCCCTCACCCAATGCAGCAGCTTCCACCACGGTCGTGCCTCTCTATGCACCTCATGCCGTTGATTACACCTTTTTCCCGCTTAGTAAGTCTTGTATTCATCCATCTCTATCTTGCTACGAATTGCCTCATTGTAGCAGTGATCATCTCTACGTTGGAACGCTACTCCATTCAACAATCGCTACCCTCTAACTGGGTCCCTTCTATCTTCTCCGATGCAAAGATACCCTCTAGCCCGGAAATTGCTGAGGCTTATAATGTTATTCTTTGCAGGAAGGTTGGTCCTTTTTTAGCTCTTGAAGATTATACCGTGCTCAAACTTCAAATCTCTCCTTAGGAGATTTGACCGCCTCACTTACTTGCTCGTTATTATTATTTAACTAAATATTCGAGCTTTTTGAATGGTAATCCGCTGGTCAAACTTTGTGGTTTTTCCTTCTATCAACAGGATCCGTTTTGGATGCGCGATTCCGTTCGTTCACATCTAATGGAAGCCGTCTACGTCTTTATCGTGGAATTTATTGAGAATGCCAATCGCCTGTCACCGAGACAGAGGTGGGTTCTGACTTTTTCCCTCTTCTAATGGGGAAAACGCAATTATGATAACAATTAGTGTGGTAGACGTAATTTTGCATCAGATGTATTGACAAATAACATCCCGCAAAGTGCTTATGAATTTACTTAATAACGTGTTACTTAAGTGAAATTAGTAGCTGAACCGGTCGTCTGACGAACTGCTTTCCTTTCTTTAGGCAATTGCAAGGTAGTCGAATGCTGGATCACTTAACCTCACATCTGGTAGAGCTACACGCAGAACCAAAAGCGGGAAGTGGTGACCTTGGCAGTGGGGTTCAAGGTCTGCACCAGCAGCACTTAGAGCTTGTGGAAAAACTAATAGGACTCAGGCGACACCTCGACCGAATGGTCTCGATAGCAAGTCCCTAGTAGTGCTTTCGCAGCATGTTTATTTGCCAACCCTCCACTTGCATTGCATTGAGGTACCGTTTTTGTAATATTACTTTATTGTAATCCATGAACTCTTATTTTGGGTGTCCGGAGTGGTGCTTTTGGTACGCTGCGTTGCTTATGGATCTGGTAAATTTGAAAAATTTTCAGGATAGGCAATTTCGATGCACTTATTACAACTACCTTCAATTAGATAGCATTTTCTTTTTTTCATTTTTAATGACCTGTTTGCCAATGGCCTTCTGGGGAGAGGAGGAGGGTAAATTAATTGGAAAATTTTGTTGTCTCATTAGTTAAACGGCAATTATTTCTAATATATAAAAGTAGTTGCGGGATCCTGTCTGCTGAAGTTAATGTATTTTTGACATGATATATCCTCCCATTTGATAGACCCCAGAGGATCTAGCTGTTATCTGTAGTGCATGTATGGCTTCAGGGTTTACCGTGTTTCGCAGATGTGGGGAATCAATTGGATGTGCTGGGCCTCAGTGCGCGTGTGTGAGAGGGAGACGGGGCCGGGGAGGATTTGCGTGCATTAGACGACGTAGTCAACTTGCAGTGATGCCAACCGGAAACAGGAAGTAGTAGTCATTGCGTGTGCCATATGCAGGCAGCGTGGCCATAGTGTGGTGGTGCGGTGGTGGAGAGCAGGATATGCTAGTGTAGAGGAGACGTCACTGGAAGGGAGATTGTGGCATACAGGATGAAGGCTTGTGTCGTGGGCAGGATACTGACGTGGTGTCCGTGATGAGCAATGGAGGCGGCATTGGGGATGATGCACTTTCTTGACGCCTTCCTCATTACAGGTTGAAACATGTAAATCTCATTAGCAAGGTGGGAGGAAGGTGTGGCCAGAGCCTGGAGAGGGGCAAGGGAAGTGTAGAGGGGAGATGTGAGACGGAGGTGCGTGGAGTGATGGCGGGAGAGGGGGGGGATGGGGAACGGGGAAAACACTGACCCTTCAAGTCCGTTGATATTGAGTGGTGTGGTTGTGAGGCTGTGGAGGAGTGGCATTGGTTGGGGCTATGGGGAGAAGGGATGAGGGAGAGGTGGAGGTGGGGATGGCGATGGCGATGGCGATGGCGATGGCGATGGAGGAGGTTGGAGTGGTGCTGGAGGCTAGGCAACTGGATCAAGGACAGGTCAACATCAGACAATTGAGGGGCTACGGTACCTTTATTGGGTAAGGTGAAGGTGGGCGAGAGGGGAGTTAGAGGAGGAGAGGAAGAGGAGTAAAGGGGCGGAGAAGGGAGGATGGTGGTGGGTGCCCCAGTACTTCACCCGGTGATGTGATTTGAAGGCAGAGATTTTGTTGCATCTCTGGAACCTCTGTAGCATACACATAACTGACCAAAAGCAACCAGACAAATCGTCCACTTTGTTTGACAAGTTGGGCATTTATAAGCAGCAAGTCTAATCTTATCTTCAAGTTTGCACAAATACCGCTTAGCTATCATGCCAACAACTCCTTTAAAATACGAATGCAATGAAAGTGTTGATTTTTTTCTCCCGGTCTTTGTTTAGCACTTTTGTAGAAGTCAATTTTTCCTACTTACTAATCTAATTTCAAAAGTTAACCCTCGGATTTTATGTGTTCATGAATTTTTGGTAATCTGCACGCATTCCACCGAGTATTTATCCCTTCCAACCCCTAAATGCCTCATGTCAGAGCTGTTGGTCAATCCATTTGATGGCCAAGACTGCGGCATTCACGTTCTGCATTCGGTACGGTCGAAATTTTAGCTTCATCGGGCTTGGAAAGCAGTTCCTATTGTGCCAGATTTCCTAACTCAACTAATTAAACTCACTTTCTTAAACATTGGGCCTTCTTTGCAGTCTGTTTGTAATTGGTGGATTCTTGTAACACAAACTCCATTAAAACATTGCGGACAATGTGGAATTTTGCCATTACATAAAGATCATCAGACAGGTAGTCGAAAAATGAGGCATTGTAGGCTATTCACATGGCAGCCACAACAGTTAGTCATGAAAAATAAAGACACTGATTGTCCTCAAGGGTTGTGGATTTCAAATCTATCTTTATAGGATACTACGCTCATCTGTTGCCCATTCCAGACCCTACAGAAATTCTTCTTTGCATTTAAGACGCCATTGCGATTACTCAATATTCGGACTTTTACACCACCTTTATCTATGAAAACGGCTAAAAGGCGTTTGAATACTTTGACAGTCAAGTCACCATTACGGCATTGCGGAGGACTTGACTAAATTGATAAACATTTCCACTTTTGCACAAAAGAATCTCCTATACCTCTTGACACATTTAGCTGAATGGGAGAGGAACGGAAATCGTCAGTTGTTATAACGACTTGGCCGACTTCATCACTGATTAAGTGAAGAAAATGAGCAATAAAGTAGTTTTGGCAATGTGGGTTTACGAACGGAAACGCATGCGTTGGAAGCATTAAGGCCGACCGAATTCCCATGGGCAACCGCCCTTCCCGCTATCAAGCGAGTTCGAGGTTGTTCTTATCGGAAAGCCATTTACTTAACTATGGGCAAGGACCCACCCTGCCAAGATTAAGCCAGAGCAAGAAGTGAAGGCATAATATTAAGGAAGTCACGACATCAAATAAATTCATGACACTTTGTCTTGAATAATGCCCTTCAAACTCAGCGGGTCTCGCCTCGATATTTAATTGCGTACCTCATCAATAATTGACTTTCTGATTGGTGAAGCCTAGGCAACCGGTTGCGCTCGAGACCAACCAACAAATTAAGAATCTATGTAACCCACTTTTAGGCTAAAGATCTGCCTCCTTAAGTCCCATTAATTTGCACGGCTTGCTGTCTACTGTTTAAACTTCCAGTTGAGGGTGAGTAGACTACTGCATAGTCTCCACTGCATGGCTTTTAAGCTCACAGTGCTAAGGCCTCATTCTTTAAACATAATGAAAATGCCAGTTTTACATGTGATTAACTACCATTTAACGCACTAAAATCAAAAACAATAAATAATTGCTACTTAAACTTCTTAGTAGCGATATTATAAGTTAAAGTATAAGCATGCTGAATGCATGGAGAGCGGAAAGTTACGTGCTTTGATGAGGTCACGATAGACAATATCCATGGTTTGAGGTTTTTTTGTTTTGTCAGCCTTGCCATCCCGAGCCATTCATTTATATCAAAGGTGTATTTACGTCAATGGATGCTGATAATCATGGTGTACAAATAATTTTTGTAGTTTAACAAAAAACTCTTGCCTCATAAAACCCCAAATAATTTAAAAATCATGATGGGTCAAAAGTTTGAGATGAGAAGGAATGCAATCAAGGCAGATCAAAGTTAGATGGGCAGTGGGACCCATTTCTCCGCCAGCAATGACCTTTGAACTGCTATCGAGGCACTTCGAGTGTGCTCAGATTTTGTCCCCCAATAACTGTGTGACAGGAAATGAGTGGCGTTATCAAAAGGCTTAAGTGGATACAAATATCAATGAAGCTTGGGCATCCTCGTTTCCACACCATGGCTGTCATTCACCTCGACACGAGGGTGCACATCGCGCCCCACGGTTTGCCCTCATTTCAGGCTCATTTGAAAAATTCGTATAAAAATTTTTCAATTTAAACTTCTCATATTTTAATCCGTGTCTGTAACTTTATTTGACAGTTTGACATTTCCAATGAAGGATCTAGTTAAACTGTGCAAAATTGAAGTAAAATAACGAAAAAATAAGTAAAGACAAATCTAACCATTTCTGTCTCCACAAGGACTACTAATGAGTGATTCTCTTCCCTATCATGGCCGAACCGACCGGGAGAAACTCTTTCTTATCATTTTGATTTTCAATGATGACGATGATGGCACCGAGAACTTGCTTGACATCGTGTGGCTTGCATCAGCTCTTTCCTCCTCCATTGGCATTTGCAGCCTCTATTTACTGACTATCGCAAAAGAACCAACCGACTTGAGCATTGACTTCGCCTTTTGTATGAATGCAAACTACCACCTCCTTGCATTCCATCCAAATATCACATTCAAAAGTTGCAGTTGTACCAATTCAAGTGCTTCCCTCATGGAAGTCACTCAAACATGCCTATGATTAGCCTTTTCCGAGTGACACTGTGTGTGAGGATTGAGATGTAGCAACTGTTTTGCTCTTGAGGAAGGAAAATTTGTAGTGTAGCTTGGAGGAGGGAAAAGAGGAGCCGCAGTCAGTTTTGCTTGCATCAAGTCGCCTCGTTTGTGGACGTTGGTTCGCCTTCCATTGTCATGATTGCTGATGAAGCTCGCACAATGTATTTTGCAGTTGAAAGCACTTCTCCTTGTCATCTCTGGGTTTGACAGAGGCATTCCCATTTCCTGACTTGTTTGTATTTTGAAGGGTTAACGCATGGATTCGAGTCAACTTAGTGTTGTATTCACCTCCTAACTCCCAGCCTCACCTCACTTACTGCAAATTTTTTTTGCATCTGTCTATTGTTTCGTAGATGTGCAAAGTGCTGTAGGGAGTTGTTGAGATGAAAGAAGTGTTGCACAATTTAGTAAAAGCTCGACTTTTGAAGTGGACGGCTTTTGCCTCCGATTATTGTTTGGTAGTCCCATTCAAAGGCAGCGCACTGTCTACATCGTTGCCGACACAACACATCAGCGTTGCTACGCGACTGCTTGTCGTCTTAGTGCATTGTTGAGGCGTGTCATTGCATCTTTCCATCTTAGCTTACTGTCAAACACGCCTTGCAATGAGATTGTGTCTGAAGTCACTGAACAGTTTGCTTTCTGTTGTCCTTCCTTTTGTCCCATTTCTTGTGTTATTGGGTACTGCCATAGGCAAGAAACACGTTCGTTCCTTACCCTGTCGTCGTGGGGAAAGGAATCGCTAGCGTCTGTTTGTAGTGAAAGTTTAGTCGACTTGAGATCAGAGTGTCCACTTTGACACTTCAGAGTCACCTTTAGTAGCCTCAAATTTACCATTTAGAAGTGAAAGGCATGAAGCATGGCTGATATTGCGCATTCATACGGATCGGGTGAAGATGGGGTCCTGACAACGCTCCATCAACAGCTCAGCCGACAGTAACTAGACGGTCGCCGATATCAAACACTCAGAGACGCTGAGAGAGTGAGTTGTATCAACAACGTACTTATGTGGTGAGCACTACAACAGTTTGCATGAAACATTTAGATTAGATCACCAGATCAGAGAAAAAAAAAAGGAGAAATTTTTTGATCAGTTGATGCCAATAAGATCTTCTGTGACAGTTGTCTCAACAGATGATATTCCGTGTTGCAAAAAAGTAGTTGAAGGCGAAGACAACAACGATTCTATGGACTTTGTGCCACGTCAGCCACTTTCAGGTGGGCGTGTGCTTTCCACAGCCTCTACCATTGATGATGCTGCCTCTATCAGAGAATAATAAATGTCCGCTGCATCACAAAATCCGAGAGGCATCAGTAAAGTCGTCCTCCCTCTGTTTGCGCCTGTCATTTCCATTAGTCAGCATCAAAACTTCAAAGCCAGAGTAACAAATCACTTTGGATGGCGAGGCTCAAGGTGAATGCGGATTTGATGGCTTCGTCACGAGGTCTCACGTCGATTGGGCGGGCAGTCGCTACGCTTTCATTTGTCAAAGGCATGACAGTACCCATTCGAGCCAACTTAGCACCACATCATAGCAGTATAGCTGTAGACTTAACTTCCAATCCGCCCAATGTTAAGAAAGAAGTCCTGGAGATGTCGCCAGCGTCTTCGATCCGCAGGGAAACATCAGCGTTGGCTTAGGTGCCACAGTGGGAGGAAGAGGCACCAAATGCAAAGCCAGTTTCTTCTCCATGAGAACTTTAAGCATCCCGCCCCCTTCCTTATGCCAGGGACTCAGACATCCGAACGAGCAGAACAGACGAAGGAAGACTCCTCTGATCGCAGGAGTGATCGACACGAAGTGAGTGTCGAACTTGACCATCTATTAAATTTCTTGTAAAATGATATCGGATGGAGTTGTCGGCACTCTTGAACTATAAATTTGACCATCCAAATAAGCTAGCTGGTTTTTATGTCATCAAGTCTCTCAATCGCTATGACAAATTGGGATCTGTAACTTGAAGAGGAGGTTACCCCTCTGGAAAGTGAGTCCTGGAAGGTGAGTGCTGTTGGAAATTTAGAGGTTCCACCTGTGTTCCTCATTCTGCACACCGACTTTTAGGCAGTGAAGAAAGTGATCTCTGACGGAGGTCTGTTCTGTCCAATGAATTGAGCTAAAGTGTCCCAACTCTAGCAAATGCCAGCATCGAGAACGGTGCCACCTCTACTGAGCTTGAGGGAGTATGCTGAAGATTTGTTGCATATCTTGCCGTTGGGTCTGGTCGTGGATGTTGAATTTTGTGGCATTGGATCACATCTCAAAATACACATCGCTTTGCAAAGGGCACGAGGCGGGTGAGAGTTTACCAACACCTCCTTCGTCAGCACCCTGATTTGTAAACTAAAAAACAAATTAACTTGAGATGGTTTTACTAAGTAATTTCAATGATGCTCAACGGAAGTCCAAATCTCCATCTGGTGGCGCAAAATGCTTCAGTAAATCATCTTTCATGCGATTTCGGTTACCTTGGACAGTCGTCCAAGACGGAGTGAACTCCTAATGCATTCATATGGCAAAATTAAATGCCTATTAACAAGTATAAGTGAAGTTAAAAAGTTCAATTGCTAGCTATTGTCTTGCAGTCCGATGCATAGGCGGACGAGGGTTCGATTATGGCGCTAACGTGGAAGAAGTGGCTAACAATACATTTTTAAAGCCTTACATTGCATGAATTTACAGTCAGCAATCGGTTACCTTCTCTTTGTGAAAAAGGACATGGGAATGAGAGAAGGAACTTGTGTTTAAAAAAAATATTACTCCGCCCTGATCGGCGGCGAGGCAGTCAAATTCACCTGCGTGCATGGGAATGCAAGCTGGCAGCACCACCCAACTGGAAGGTTGTGTCGAAGTTTAAATACGCCTTACAGGGGCAAAAGAAGGGGAGACAATTCTCTTGGATGCTGAAGCATGCAGCTTAGCCTCTCCAGAGACGTAAGGGGCGGACAAGACCGACTATTCCGCCTATCATTTTGACCTAGTGACAAAAGGTCAACCCGAATGTCGACACCCCAAGAGATGCAGTATACTTGTCTTCATTTGCCTCAAGTATGCAAATTTGCAGGTCGAAGGAAAAGAAACCATCTAAGTAGACTCTTCTGGTTGCTAATTTGGCGATCGCACACTCGTGATCAAGCAATAATGAGAGTACTAATGCAGTACACAGGTGAAAAGATTTCATTTGCCATTAATTTTATTGCATTTGAATGTCGATAATGAAGACGAATGAGCGTCCACTTTAGCGAAGTACCTTCAACTGTTTGATACTGTTCAACAAAGACAGTAAATTAAAGCGTTCGATTTGAGTAGGTTCGGTAAAAGGCATCCACAATTCCATCATGACAGACAACCTAACTCGGTCACATGAATCAACGTTGACTACGTGGGTAAAGGCAGCTTTGATAACATGACAACGAAGAGCAAGTGAAATCATTTCTTCCTCCTCCTTCATGCCTAGTTGTATACATCTAGGCCGATAATAAAGTTAAATTTAATCGAATTTTGAATTGCTTTTCATATAAGACTTAAACTAAAATCTGCTTTGACAATGTAATATTTTTATTGGCAGTCTGAAGGTCACAGGACACAAAGACCAATCAACGAAGAACTGGTTTAAATCTAGTAGCCAATCAATTCAATTAGATTTGATTTACCAAGTTCAGACTTACCAAAGGGACATTCCTGTTCAATCTGTCACTTGCTTAAAAGAAGTAATCTTCTAACTTGAAATAGAGTGCAAAGGGCAAAACTTTGGACAGACTCATTGGCCGCCTGGACTAGAAAGTGGTATAGGCTTCGACTGATACAAAATTTTCTGTAAAACCTGAAGAAAAAGTATCAAAAAAGGTGCTAGATGGATCACAAAACCAGGATGGAAGTTTTTATGCCCTGCAGCGCAGGTCGAATCAGTTCATATAAAAATGCTAAGCCATTTTAGCGGTAAGCGGAGCTTAGCGTCTCTTCGTTTAGACAAGGTAATGTAGCTTTGCAATGCGAGTGCCATCAAATCTACCCTCATCCACTTACCTTTCATGGTACATCCCTAATATTTGTCAGGAAGGTAAACTTAAATGCACATTCAACTGGCTCCGCTAGCCACTATCCATCCTAATGAAAAATCACAAGATGGTGGTCGAACTCTCCATCACTGTTTCATGTCAGGTTCATTTGCATTTTATTAGCTTTGCAAATGGCCAACTGTCTCCTTCCATCCTCCAGTCACCTTCAAATTCGACCCTCGATCACAATATTCGCCTCACTACAGACAGTTAAATTGGGATTTTGGAAGTTTATGAGAGGCAATACAGCCATGGACTGAAGGTCCATGCACTCACATCGTGTAGACTTTTTTTCCATATAAAGGAGACTCACAAACAAATATGCGAATGTCTGATTTAGTTTTTTTTGAGCTGAATTGTGCAGCAGGGGACCCTAAATGGGATAGAAGTGAGGAGTCGAAAACCGAATCAGTTAAATGCGTTTGCTTGTCATATCACTGATTAAAATAGATACAATTTATGCATGAAGCCATTCTCACTTTCCATGATTCCTTGGAGTAGTGGAAGGAAGGAGGAGAAGGTAGACGTGGGGCGATACACAACGAGCACCACAGACACAGACTGACACAAAAAGGAAAGTTTAGATTAAGGATTGGGCGCTAGGAGGTGTTGGAACATCAGTGAGTGAGGACCTGGAGAGGGAATAAGTCTGGACGAAATCCCATTTACACACAAAGTTGTAGAGCCAGAACAACGGCGGTGGCTGTTGAGGCAATTATGGGATGCATAGCACCAGTGCTGTAGAAGTACGCAGCATGAAGGGCCTCTGAGGCTCTGTAAATGGATGACAGCCACGGTGAGACACCAAAACGATTCATTGTAGCTACAGCAACCTCCAAATCTGCATGCGGATCCTCCACCTGCACGTCGCATTGAATCACCGCGTCTCCGGACCACTTTATGGATTGGTGCTGTTGTAGTTGAAAGTCGGTGGGATCTTTCATTTGATTTTGGAAGCATACCAACGTCTTGGACCAATTTCCGTATCCCAGAAGTTTCCTTACCTCGCCGTGGCCTTGACCCAATTGATGCGCGGCCTTACGGTAGCGAATGAGGATGTTGTTCAACTCTGCACGTCCCCCGTTATCGTAGGGACAAGGATCGTCGAGGAAGACGGAGATGCGTAGATAACTTGCCGTTGGAACGAGAAACACAAAATGCTACAAGGCAATATGGTTTGACAGAAACCAATTCATTGGCCCTTGCTTAAGGTCACAAAAGAAGTGATTGGAAGACGTGAAAGCATCCATGTTTTGAGGCTCCAGCAATGGAGAGGCGTAGAAGGCACTCACCGTGGGTTTACTGGGAGCAGTTAGAGGTGCCGTGGCAGTAACGAATTGAATGGTGGTAGTAAGGTGGAACTGATTGGCTGAGGACCATTCAAAAGTGTAGTTGGTGCCTGGCAAAAGGTTGGTCAGTGGAATGGTGGAGAGATTGGGTCTTTCCGAGGACTGCTGACCCGATTGATGAGCTTGTTGCCGTTGTTGCTGATCCAGCTCTCCGGCTAGAAGGGCTTCCTGAATTTCCTCCTCGTCTCCATCTACCGTCTTTTCGGAGCGTGGTTGACCATTCTTGTCCAGAATAATGATCTTGCTGGCCAGATTTGAGGCTGAATGAAATTCCTGCACAAAGTGAAAGGTGTAAGAAAAATGCACAACAACGCAGATGAGTATGAATCCTTCACTCTAGATCCACTTATTTCTGTCAGGCTGAACAACGCAACTGTCTTGATAAGTTGTCTTCATTGAACAGTTCACTGCTCTGTGGGAAATCCAAATACCTCACCGAAAGGGAGTGAAGAGCTGCTACAATCATGCACTCAACAAACTCCTTCCTTAGGTTGACAAACCACTTCGAATCGCAAGGGAATCACATCACCTTCTGATCCAAAGTCTTACAAAAAGTGACTGTTTGGCTCCCAGGTTCTCAAGACTACCTCTGCCACTGCAAGTGCAGAAGACGTTACAAACAATTCACTCAGCACAAAGGGGAATCACAAAATTCGCTTTCAGTGCTCACTGTGCAGTCGGTGGCAGCTCTCCGACAAGAAAGGCGCAAATATTCTCCTCTATTGCTTTGCTTGCCCCACATGAATGCATGTGTACAGCAAAATGTTTTGATTCTCCTTTTTTTGAACATTTCTTATCAAATATCGATGCTGTTGAGGTTTTTGAGGGATTTCAACTAGTGCCTAAGGTGACGATAACGGTGAATTAGTGAACTTCTTGCAGTTCGCCGTCTGCTGTTTACAAGGTGGTGGCGGTGAAGGAGTCCGCATGTGGACTCTCCAAAGAGTGAAGCTGATCATACCGGCGCTGTCTTGGAACGTGTGCCGAGGAAGGTGGCGGAGAAAGTGTCTCAGGGCAGAGAACGAATACATACACATACAAAGGTCAATCACGCTCCTCACTGCCTTACGAAATTATTTTCACCTGTCAAAACAGGAGATGAGGTGGCATTCTTTGAATCAAATCCACCAACTCAACTAACTTCGACAGCAAATGAATTCGGTACCTCAATTTGGTGGTGATCGAGGTTGCTCGAGCGAAAGAGAAACCTATACAGGGCCTGAAGGTGACATCCACTCAAAAAAAGGCAAAATTACAGCTTCCAAACAATTTTGATTTTATAGAAGAAATGAAAAAGAAGCTTGTTAGCGCAAAACTCACTGCAGTCGGCGCGAAGAGGACACGCTGATTGACGATCCTATCGGTGGCCTCGTTCTCGGCCGAGACGAGAGGATTGGTGACACCAAAAATGACAGCACCAGGGCCAGAGCACAAAGCCACAATCTGAAAGTCAGATGCACCAGTAAATAAGCGGTTTCATCGCGCCTTCTCTTGTCCCCTAACCGCTCAACCTGCACCGACCCACCTTGGGTGGAGCTGGCGGAGTGGCCTGTTTGATTTGGACCTCGTCGGAGACCATGGAGCCATCAATGTGGACGTACTCGCATCTTGCCACAATCTCACCTTGTGGTCGGTGATTAATCAGCACGGAGTAGGTGGCATTAATCCTGAAACAAATGCAACAAATTAATTACTTTTCATATAAATCCAGAATAAGTGACTTCTTTTTAGAAAAGGCCAAATTTAACACAAAACACAATGCTGGATGCAATTCTACCTCTCTAAGGGAGTACATATTCCTTTTCTCCATTTTCTTCTCGGTAACGCTCTACTTGACTAGTTCCACAACCTTCTGTAGCGGTCCAAAGTAAAGGTGAGAGGCGAAGAAAAATGATTGGGCGGTTCATGCAACCAACACTCCAACATATTCGAGGTTGCAACTCAAAAAGTTACGAATAATATCCCAAGACAAATAAACGTCCCCAACAATGAAGGGCTTAAAGTGCAGAAAAACTGGCCTATCGGGGTGATTTTAACAATCCAGTCTGCCATGCTTGGCGATCTCATTTACTTGATTTTGATTGGTCAATTCACTCCATCAGTTCCTCTGTATGTCACAACACCGATTCTCGTCAAAATATATTCAATGTATGAAGTCGAAGTCTGCATTTCCATTACATAGTGATCTGGGATCTCATTTGGATGAAAATATTAGAGGGAATTAAGCTGTGCCACTCCTTTATCCTCTCTGTCCCTCACTTTCATGTGGCATTGCCTCATGATCATGCTAAGAGCTCTCCATCTTCTCTCTCACCAAAAGAACTGCTGGTCTGATCTGTCTAGGAAACTGTTAGATTCTGAGGTCGCAGAAAGTTTCCTTCCTCATTGGACGAATAAGTCGAAGAGGAAAGCATAAAACGGTCTACATTTTGGGTACCTACTTATTTTTATTTTCTGAAAGAGGACGACGTTGGGCTTACGAAAAAATTGGGAAACCTGCATGGCATTGCTGGCTGGGAGAACGAGTGATGCCTCCACTAGATGAATGAGATCCAGAAAGACGTTTTGATAGCGCTCAAGGGAGAATGGTTCGACAAGGAGGAAGGACTGTGGAATGTCAACACTGTAAATCCACTTATCTTTAAAACGTCCAGCTTATTGTCCTGCCTGTAGTAATACAAAGTCAGTCATAATATCCTCTCTCCTTGTTCCTTCCAATTGCAAGGGGAGTTGAATAATCGCAAATCAGTCTTTCCTCCTAAGCTTTAATTTTCCAATCATTTCAATGATCTCTCACCTCCTAAGTACTGTCTACTTATTAAGTAGCTTAATAAGTAGCGTGTTCCAACTCACTACCATGTTCTCAGGAAAACTTCAACGCATTGACATAGCTTTAGTCCTTTGGCAAAGTACCATCTGAATTCGTTAATTTTCATGTAGGAAAGCGGAGATTGCCTGCAAAAGAGGTGTACGAGTTTTGAAAGTGTGTTTGTGGTCTTTCCATAGTACCTGAGTGACAAAGTGTTGACTCCACCCACAAGAAAACAATGAATGGCAAAAAAGAAAGCTCTTCATAGAGTAAGCTCTCCATCAATGGGCTAGATGCGAAGGAGAGGAGAAAGAGAGGCTCACAATTTTGAAGTGTTCACTTTTTCCCAGTACTGATTGATAAAAGTTTCGCTAAAGTTCAAGTGAAAGGGAGTCTCTTCAACGCTCCTCCATACTTTGACAAGTAATGAAGCGAAGTGACAAATTGGTCGAAGGAACTGCTGTCCTCTAACATGAACATTCTTGATAAGCTCATTAATTTCATTTCGGTTGTGCTGGATGGCATGACAAAGGCTGGACAAACGACATCTACTTTCGCCTCTACAGTGTAGCTCTCAATTGAGACACTCTTTGTTTCCCCAGGAAACGCAATCAACTTTCCTTCCCGATCAAGATTTGCACACATACATATACACGCATAACTTAAAAAAGTGAATCGAAATTATTTCTCTCCCAAGAGAAGGGTCTTTGCGCTCCTCATCTGTTACCTGTCTAAGGGTTTGTGCGCGCCAAGGTGGAGTAGAAAAGCCTGTCCCAATGCTTCCGTGCATTAATAATGCATGCATTCATTTACCTACCAGATTCGATAGGTAATTTAATGGGAAAGCTGGCAAAGGCGACCGTTTGGCTGGAAAATCAGACTTACATGGCAAAAGCTCAACCAAACTTATCATCGGGAGGGCGGTGTCGGCAATGAGTGGATGGTTGAGCTTGTAACTACTTCCAAGGAGGAATGTTGCTCAAAACCCTCTTCCAAAGAGCAACTGTGATAAAAAGCATTGCTTAGGGGGGAAAAAGTCTGTAATGAATGGCCTCAGGGAGAGAAGGAAGGCAATCAAGACAGATTAGCGTTATGCCGTAGGTTGGAACAGTTTGTCAGCGAGTGGACAAGTTGCTGAATGAATTCACTGGTAGATGTCATTACACCTCCCTCCTCTTGCACTGACGAATCATGACCGACACTCGGATGGAGGGTGAGACTGTGGTTATGCTCCACCGATGTGGTCTCCAGGTTCACCGCTACTGTTTTTCATTCATTTACTCACAATTGTGGACAAGGCTGAACTCAAAGTCTTCTGCATTGACGCCTTCAAGCTGAATGTAGCAGTAAAAACCTTCCAACTTGATGTAGTGCATAAAATCCTCCATCTTCAGCATTGCTGAAAGTATGCAGTTCTTGTGGAACTATGCGGACACCTGCGTATACAGACGTTCAGCGAAAAGCGCTTCCCTCTCTACTAATACAGCACTATTCACATTTGTTCATCGGAGCCTCTACACTTTACTGTCTTGAATGCTCAATTGGTGTGTCCAGCAGCCCTTCAAAGAGATCGAATGCAGGTGGAACACGAGAAAGAGGCATGGAGTCCGCGCGTCCTACCAAAAGCAAATTTTAGAAGATTGAGCCATACATAGCACCATCGTAATTGTTCAAACGGACGTCAACGGAAGGGCAGTCTCCCAGTTGACAATCCACACTCACTAACAAATCGTCTTATTGCAAACTAATTTCCAGATTGCAGCAGAATGTTGTAGGAAATTGGGAACACCTTGAACAAGCCACTTACGGATTTTCTCTCAATCTCTCCTCCCTCTCCTCCTTCTTTTCGCCTTCCTACCTGAATGATATGAACGAGGTAGTCAACAAATTGTGACTTGAAAACCTCATTCGTAGCACTCGCTCCACTCGAGTCACAGACGACTCAGATGAAGAGAGCACACTGAGGAGCGCCTTACGCATTTCAAAGGCATCGAAGAACGTTTCCAACACCTAGGTATTGCCAACTACGCCACCCAGTTCAAAGCAATAAGTCAGGCGTTTGGCATGCTTTTAACGCGTTGGCCGTTGGCACAAAAAGTAGTTCCTTCCAGAAGTAACCGTTGAAATGATGCTTCAATCTTTAAAATAACAAATGATTGCTTTCTGCATTATTAAGCAATTAAATTCGCACGAAAGACAGTTAACTGGGAGTGTAGAAAAGGTCTTCGACTTCGTCTTCCAAAGCAGTGCCAATGAAGCCACCAAGATGGAGGCCAGCCTGAAAACCACAGGCAAAAATCGTCGAACAGGAATTCGAGATGCAGACCAAACTGCGCAGAGACACACACACACCTACCCCCTCCTTTTCTCCCAACCTATAGTGGTTTTAGTAAGAGTCCCAGCACAAGGCAAATCCAGAAATGATCTACCAGAACAAAAGTGTTCTTCCATGCGACAAAATTTTGTTCGAAGAGAGTACGAGATCTATCCATGGTCACTGCCTGGGGTCAATCCAGACAACTGCCACAGATTGAAGCATTCTTGGTCATCTAATGACCAGCACGAATACGGCGATACCCAAGACGATTGATGAAGGATTCGAAGGCTGACTGAGTCCCTCAAAGCCCCACGTTATAGCTACACAGTCACGAACCCTTCGTAGACACCCATTCGCAGATCCGTCAGTTTCACCGACACCAGAGGCTCTCTGCGTCGGTTAGCCTTGAGAACGACCAGACGCACCGGTGAAACTCTTTCAGCCTCCTGCAATATTCGATTTGTTTTCTGCTGTTGTTGCTGCCGCAACTGCTGTTGTTGTGTGGTTGCACCCTCCACCTCCTCCCGCTGCTCCTCCTCAATCGACTCCAGCACCGACAGTGCTGGTGCCGTCGATGCCCCTGTTTCATCCACGGACGAGGCAGCCTGAAGGGTGGACAGGTTAGTACCTGCCAATGGGTAGCCTGAGACGAGGCAGGAAATGCTCAAAGGTTGACGCGCGAGGAAGTAGGTCGATTGTTGCGGCTGGATGGTGAGCTTGGGCTCAGAGCGAACACGAAGGTGACCAATGTGCTGTGCCTGACCTGCCGCATTGGTTACACGGCAACGATATGTGCCGTGGTGGTCGCGTAGAGCTCCTACAATGGGTAATTAAAGTGCCTTTCTCATTCTCCTGACTTCAGCCAAACCGTTTTCTTTCCTAACAGTCCATTCCATTCTCGTGGTTTTCTTGCCTCTCCCTGGTGCCACAAGTAAAAAGCAGTGAGTCAATTAAGACTGTACACTCACTATTACAACTGAGATCCATTGCAATGCATTTCATTCAATCCACAATCAGATCTGGACTACTGAAATACTCCCTCTTCCTGCCTTAGACACTCCCTGTCTTTAGAATAGCAACCACACGAATGTTTGCTTCCCACTTAAGCACAAATAAAACTATTTCATGTCAAGCAGACACTCAAAGAGTCGACATTTGGAATGCATTGACGGTTGAAGGGCACAAGTTTGCGTCATCTCCACTACCGCTGGCACCCGCTAAGACGGTGCTGCGACAGCACCACAGCTGCACAAATGTTACGTTGTTTTACTCGGAGGCATCTTTTAGTAACCACCAACTACACAAATAAAAAATGATACAATTGGACCTTCAATTTGAATGCAGTAAAGTAGGTGGTGGAAATTTGCCAATTTGAGGTGTTCTGCACCCCAACTCCCCTCCTCTCACTCCGTCTCAGGCAATTCGAACTGCTTGACCACGTTGGGAGACGGGGAATGAGGAGCCAAAGGTCACTCGCCCCTGGGAAGTGATATGGAAACTAGAAAACAAGGACAAACATCGTAACCGTCTTGAAGCACATTGAGGTGTGCAAGTTTGATTGCGACAATCACTGTCTAGGTATCATTCAGGTGGGCCATGCAAAGAACAAGGTGGCGGAACAAGAGCGAGCGTGTCTCCAACTCGACCCACTGTCTAAATCAAGTTGGGACGATTCTCCACCCTCCTGACCGTTTTAGACATTGTTCCACCATCAGTCCTCTACCAGCCCACTTTTCAGGGCATCCGAACTCCAAACGGTGTCTCGGTGAAGCGGAAGACTGCAGAGTGCGGTAAGTACTGCGACAGCC